AAAAGGATATCTAAATAATTGTCAAACTTGCCAAATGAGAAGGCTCTTAACAAAACTGAATGAAAGAGTACGATTTATGTAGTCAATCTTCAAATTTTAGAAAAATAGTGATGTTATTTTTGTTGTTTCTACCACCACTGCTGTTGTTGTAAGACACTTGTATAATTTAATAATAAACAAAAGTTTTTATACCATATTTTTGGCTTTGACTACAAGATATATGATCATTCATTTGGTATTATTTTTTGGGTGCCTTAGGGGACTTGCGAAAGCTTGGGACAACTTAAGCTTAGTCCTAAGGTAGATATCTTATTGCATGTACAGCAAGGAGTATATGAAAAGAGCCATGTAAGTCTTTGGAGGAGAGGACTTCAAGAGTATTTTACCTACTTCAGGTTTGGAGAGTAAACGTAAGATATTATGAAAGTTGGACTTCTCAATTTGGTTAATGATTCAAATAGGATTTTGTTTGGGTAGAAAATTATTTTCATTGCTGAATTCATTACAACTTCGGGCGTTACAATAAATTCAAAACAAAGATAGCCTTTTTATAAGACTTTCAATACAATAAAAATTAATTATTCAAACAACACGCAACAGGTGTTTATCGCCTATTGCTTACGTGAGGTCTTTGTCTGTGCCGGGGTTTATCCGTGGACCGCCTGCAGATCAGATCCGGTTGTCGAAAATTTAACAGAGCTCCTACTTCACCAAGGAAGTATTCACTTAAAGTACTGAGATCGACCAAGCGAAATCAGTAGCTCTTCTCGAGATTAAGACTAAGTCTAATCTCAAGGAACGAACGGACGGGGCTTCAGATCCTTCGAACTCTCCCTCTTTATGTTGAAGAACTTCGCCAAGATCTGCAAGCCTCCTCTGAAATTCGTGCTCCCTTGCTCTCCAACTCGGCAGCACCTGCTCGTCTTGATAATAATTCACCCCCGTGAAATGAGCCTCTAGGCCTATATTTATAGGCTTCGGTTGGGGGGGTATTTGGATGAGAATGAGTGATTTGGCCTTATCTTCAGTCAATAACGACCTAACCACGTTTGTGGATGATATCAAGTTAGTTAGGAACCCCTGGAACAGATAAATCCCGAGAAAATCGCTCAAAACTATCGAAAACGCGTTTGGGGGTTGAAACTGCGCGATACGCCCTGCTGATCCGCGGGGACCTGCGCAGGCGCGGGTTGGCGCGGGCTGACCCATCGCCGTGTGGGTCGGTTCGGCACTTGGGCATTCGTTCCATCTTTTTTTTGTTTTGCGTATTTGGTCGTCTTGTTGACTTGTACGCTTCGTTAACTTGTTTCATGTGTTCGTTAGCTTCTTTATGGCACTTGGAGCTGATCGACAAGCGCGTCGGGCACATTGGATCTGACCGACAAGCACGTCGGGCACTTTGGATTTGACCGATGCGCGTGAGCTGACTGATGTGCGCGCGTTGACTGACGTGCGCGTGTTGACTGACGTGCGCGCGTTGACGTGCGCGAGCTGACTGACGTGCGCGCGTTGATTGACGTGCACAGCGGCCGATGGATAATTCTTCTTGGCT